ACCCTAATGCTGATATCTGTTAGTTTACCATTATTCATTTCCCGAAATGCATATCGGGTAAATAACGGGTCAATAAAAGTATATCCTGTTATTTAACCATTATTCGTACATTCAACCTGTGTAACAATATAAATTTTGAAATTTCAAATCCAAATAACAATATATCTGAACATTTTATATGATTTTATAGAGAAAATCTATTTAAATACAGGTTATTTGCGTAAATATCAACCTATTTGAATTGGTTTTAAATCATGTTAATAGTAATATTAACAAGAAATCATTAAAGTTGATATATTAAAGTTAATATATATGAGAGAATTTTGATATATAAAAATTTATAAAAACTTGTTTTGTGGTTTAGGTTGATATTAACGAAGTTGATATTGACAGGAGTAACCTGTATCATTGAACAAAAAAACATGATATATAGAGTTATCGTGCAAACCCTTATGATCATAGATTTTTTCTTGTTATTTTTTGTACGTTATTATATAAGCACAACAATCTCGAATTAAACCTCAGTTAGCCAACCATGACTCATAAATCATGATCATAATTGCACGATAATATCGATATTGGATCATGCAACGATTAATATCACAAATTTTGCTCTGTTAGAGCAAATGATTGGCTGAAACGTGCTGCTACACAGCACATATCCGCCAATCATCTGCTCTGACAAACCAAATTTCATGATATTAATCATTGCATAACCAATATCTTATACTTATTGAGATGCGAAACATCTAATAATTCTATATTATCAGAATAATTTTCATATAATTAAGCTAATGATCCTAACTGTCAGTAGTATTTGCATTTTCCAGAATCTATTCTATGCATGCTTCAATAACATTATCTCTTTCATCTTCTAAATATACTATAAAAATTGTATTGAAGTGATTATTATTAGTATTTCACGTGAAAATTAACAATAACAGAATAATAGAACATACAGCAATGCTTCATGTTAGGCCACGACTTTATTTTAACCTTTTTGTTTATTTTTTGCAATTTGTCATAAAACTTTTCAATAGCATTAGTTGATTGTATTTTATTTCCTTTTCCATACATCAATAAAACAGTGAGATCTATTTCTGTATAGTATTTCTCTAGTACCATTCTTGCTTGATATAAAAATTCTATAGCTATAATAAGACAAGTCATTTTCAGATAAATATATTATTGGATATCTTTTATATTATTCGTATTAATTTGGTATTTACCTTTAGCAAGCATAATGGGCTTATATATAATTTTATCATCTTGAAATTCTTTAATTTCTTTAATAAAATCTGATTTATTGCAAAGTTCACTAGAATCTACCTTGTAATTTATTAAAAAATCAGGTATTATTTTGTATACAAGTTTACCTAAGCCAATAATAATTTTAGATATCTTCTTTTCTTCTAATGCAGGTGTAAGTGCAATATACCCAGAAAATTCATTATTAAGTTCACCTTTAGCTGCGTAATAAAGAGCCAATACACTGCTCTACAAAAAAAAAATATAATAAATATTAATTTTATTATATAAAATAACTATAAAAGTATCTTGACTTACCATACTATTTCCCATTAAAAAATGTAGAATATTTTTATTGTTTCTTTTCTGTTTCTTTAGTTTGATAAAATTTGTTATATCATCAATTGTTTTATCCTAACCTTGGTATCTGTCATATATCTTGCCATGCCCACATCGATCAAATGCATCAACTTCAATTCCTTTTTCTT